TAAAAACACAAGAATGTGTGACTCCTACAGCATCACGTATTAAAGTGGAGCTCAAAAAACCATATTAGCTTCGGTTGAACCTATCCTCCCAACCACAGTTTGAACAGCAATAAAACAACTCAACAACTTATTATTGTAGACAAAATCTTTAAAAAAAAAATTATAAATTCCTATTTCAAATCACAAAATCCATGACCAAATTAATGTAATCCTACTTATTATTCTCCTTTAGCTTTGGAGACATGCATTCTTCCAGTGCCACCGATCGAGAGACATATATAAGTACGTTGATCTTCAGCAGTGCTTGTCATTGCAGAACATCAAACATCAATTTAGCAGCTCTATACCAAAGACTCGAACTGGGATTTGATTATGCATCAGCTGGTAGTGCCAATCTTTTCCATACTCTTAAAGTGCAAAATGCAACTATAGCCCGTAGGACTTACACAATATATAACTTCACAATTTATATATTGCTTATTAACAATTAACTTATCTAAGACGTCACAGAATGATAGAAACACCTTATTTAAGCAGTTTGAGCAACTAAACTTACATGTTTAGATTACAATATGCCTAAATATTCAGAAAATAGGCTGATAAATACTATTCTTGTAATCGGAATGCTCCTATAACTTAAGTACAGTACTACAATCATGCACACAAATATTCATTTATATTTGTTTATAAGAAAATAACGTTTCTCGATAGTCCATTGGGATTGTATGTCTTTCCAACTAAACATTAGGCATCCCACGACACCATGTGTTGAGGAATCAAACAAGTGGATATCTATTTATAAAAATCTCCTCCTCAATTTAGAATACGTTTGAAATTATTTTGAGATATTATACATGTAGTTATATAGTGATTGTGGTTATGATCAAAAGTTTTTTAAGTGTTTAATTATTTATTCTTTAAAAATACTGTAAAACCCAACTTAACAAACAAAAGATGAAAAAAAAAAAAAACTATAATTAAACATAATGGTGACAAAAAAAAAAAACCAATAATTCTCAATGTAAACAAATTAACAAAAAATGAAATTATTTTTTGATACTCACTTGAAAGAAGATTTGACATTATTGCTTTTCGTGCATGGGATGTGGACTAAAGGAATTTTTTTGCCCGTGCCAAAAATTCTCGAGGTACCAAAAACAAAAAAAAATTCTCGAGAGAATCTCAGTGGAGATGGATATGGGGAGGCAGAGGCAGTCACATCCTGTCAGGATTTTTCGTCATATTTTTATGTAAAAATATAGTTAAAAAACTTAAACACACATAAATTTAGAAGTATTGTTTGACTATAAGATAAAACTTATAATTATAATCCCAAACACACCCTTACTAACAAAACTAGAGTCCATCCTTTACAGGGTCTGATTAAATTCGTTCTTGGAGGTCTTTAACTTTACAAAGTTTTTAAAGACGGTATCACCAAGTTAATACGAGAAGAATCACTTAGATAAAGGCCCAACAAAATTAATTTACCAAAAAAAAACCAAAATTAGATTTGACTAATATATATTCCTTTTCTATGCTAGCAAAATTTCACTTTATTTGGAAAATAATTTTATCATATTCAGAACAATTACTTTCTTATGAAACCTGTTAAACTACCATTCATCATTAAAAAAAATTAAGAAGCCAATTAAACATTTGAGTGCCTTATTTTGCAATATGATATTTTATTATTTTAATTACACCCAATTATAAAATAAAAATTATTAAAAAAATAATTCTTAATGTTAAGAGGTTTACTTTAATCCAATAATTTAACTTATACAATTCATCTACACAATATTGTTTTATACATTTTTGTATTATTTTATAATTATTCATCAAATCATGTCAATCCGGATCGATTACAATAAAAAATGCAAATATTGAAAGATGGATTGGATATTATAAAAAAAAATCTCCCTGGTGCTTTTAGTTTTCATGTTAAATAATGATAAATAAGATAAAATTTTAAAAATTAAAATGTAAGACTAATGATATAGATGCATCATTTAAAATATTAAAAAATAAATTATATCTTATTTAAGAATTAATTTTTTTGTTTTATTGAAACCGATAATATTATATATATCAATTTATTTAGGTTAAATCTTTTTTTTATCCCTCAACTACTGTACGGATTCTTGATTAAGTCCCTCAACTCAAAAAATTCCTAATTTGGTCCCTATTGTTTACCATTTTTACCCCAACTTAGTCCCTCTGTAAAAAATCTTATGACGTGTACAGTTAATTTACAGTAAGATGATGATATGTCAAAATATTATCCCACCTAGAAGACAAAATGACAAAAAATAGTGACATGAAAAAAAAAAAAATAATACAACAAAAAACTTAAAAAATTCTTTCTTTTTCTTTTTTTTCTTCTCCTTTCCTTTTCTTTTCCCTTAGGGTCCTAGAACCCTAAGCCAAGTTCGATCGAACCCAGGCTTGGGGTTCCTTGGAACCCAGCTCGGGGTTCCTTGGAACCTGGCTCTAGGTTCGGACGAACCCAGGCGCTAGGTTTTTTCGAATCCGATGCTGGGTTTGAAGGAACCCAGGCGTTGGGTTCATTGAACCCAGGCGATGAACCCAAGTTTTGGGTTCCTTGGAACCCGACGCTTGGGTTTGACAAACCTGGCGCTAGGTTCCTTCGAAACCAACGCTTGGTTTAAAGGAACCCAAGCGTTGGGTTCATCAAACCCAGGCAATGAACCCAAGCTTTGGATTCCTTGGAACTCGACGCCTGGGTTCGTCAGGTTCCTTCGAACCCGGCGCTGGGTTTGGAGAAACCCAGTGCTAGGTTCATCGACAAAAAATAAGAAAAAATTCTGTGTTTTTGTGGTTGTTGTTTGATGAGGGTGTTGTTTGATGATGATGATGATGATGAACTGATTGATGAAGAAGAAGAATTGATTGATGAAAAAGAATTAATTGATGAAGAAGGCAAGAAAAGAAAGGGGAAAGAGGAAGGAGAAAGAATTTTTAAAATTTTTATTGCTAAATCTTTTTTTTTTTTTTTGCTAGCTGGCTTTCCACGTGGACATAATGTTTTGATGTGTACGTTATGTTTCTATTACTTAACGGACACGTGGGTAGATTTTTAACAAAATGACTAAATTGTGATAAAAATGGTAAATAGTAAAGATCAAATCAGAGATTTTTTGAGTTGAGAGACTCAATTGGGGTCCGTACAATAGTTGAGGGACCAAAAAAGGGGTTTAACCATTTATTTAATAACTTGACTTATCTACATTATTGGTCCAAATTTTGGTTTCAAAATTTTGTCGTGTATCCCTACTAATTGGCGTTTGATTAATTTTAATTCGGGTTAGCATTTTTTTCGTCTGGACTGAGAAACGACATGTTAGTAGTGGAGTTCATCGCAAGTACTGACGTGAATTATATACCTTTTTTAGGAGGATTAATAAATGTAAAGGGTTTTTATTGCACCATGTAGATATGAAAGGAAATGGTGATTTACTAGAAAAAAAATTTTATATCACTTTTTGATATAATTTTCATGTATTATTAAATAAATAAATATGTTTAATATCATAAATTTTACATGAATAAAAAAATTAATCATTTAAATAACACGTCAAATTATATCAAAAAATGATGCAAAAAGATTACCTCAAAATCATTTTACCACATGGAAATGTAACAGGAGCATGCCCTAAAAACTTAGAAATATGGTTGGGCAGAAACAGAGGAGAGGTGAGGTTAAGTGAAGGAAAACTTTTTATCTAATCAAATTAAGACATGTTTTTGAAACACCTACTAGTTTGTCCTCCATTCACTTTGATCAAGCTGATTCAAGTCTAAGACAACAAACACCCTTATGACTAAGAATTCTAAAACTGATCCAACCAAATTGGACATCCCAATTGTGTTGAGATTTAGAATCCCCAATATGTTATTGTAAGTACCCTCCGATTTACAAATGTAAGGAGTTTTCCTTGCATTGATTTAAGGCTATAGTACTTGTTCCAAGCATCGTCCTAATTACAATTTTTATCTCTACTGATAAATAAATATTGCCAATTTCAAGTCTTGTATCACGAATTCCAGTTTTTCAATTTCTCCTTTCAATTTCTCCCACTGTGATTCTGTATCCACGAAAGCGTACTTCTGCTCCAGCAGCCGCACGGCGACCTGTAGATGGCAATATCAGAATCCAGCAGTTCCAGTTTCCGATCACAGCTCTTTGATTCCTTCCGCATCGCGAGACTCTCAAAATCGACGAGGAAGAAAACGGTCGATGGCCTCGATTTTCGACCGGCGGACGACGCACTGACCACCGAATTCAACAGCGGGAGCTGGAGCTCGATCGATCGATGGAGAAATTAATCTGAAATGGAGTGGTCGTGCCAACAGAGGAGCATGGAGATGCAGCGTCCGAGGATGTAGAACCGAGTCTTCTGCTGCTTCGCCATCAGCAGGCAGCGCTTTCTGAAACTAGGTTTTTGCGAGCGGGATTTGGGATTGGGGCGGGCGTAGGCGGCGGACATTGGCGGCGAACTGAGAATTTTGGGGAAGCACAACAAAACTACAAAAGGCGGGCGACGCTACTTCTTGGCTGGCTGCTTCTTACTAATATATATAGAGCTTTGACGCCGAGGGGGTCCCGTGTGGATGAGATTGAAGGCATTTCGTGGAAGGCCTCCCCACTGGCTAGTATGACATCTTTGTCCTTTGCCCCTTTTTCTTTTCCTAATTTCCTTTTATGTTAAGAAATCAAAATATTTTCTTCAACTTTTTCAATTTATATTATCCCAACAACCTTTTTGTTGGTGTTAGATAAGAAAATTAAAGAAGCTTTTCATAATGATTTGTGTATTTTTTTTTCCTTTTTCTTATGTGCATATATATATATATATTTATATGATATAATTTTGGATTATAGCCATTGATAAGTTGGTAAGAGTTTGTCAATTTATTTTAGTGTATCATGATGGGTTGTTGAATAATGGAAACAATCATTCATTTATTAATTTTTTTTATCCCTTACCTTAAAATTTAAATTAAAGTATTAGATTTTAATTATTATTTTCTTATTTAATTTTTTTTAATTTAAGATATCTAAAATAAATTGTTCACTTTTCTTTAAAATATTTTTAATACTTTTATTCTAATTGTAAAATTATTTTAAAAATAATTACAATATATACTACAATGAAAATAATAAAAGTCACATTAGCTGCTCCTTCTCTCTTTCTCTCTCTCGACTTGATTTTCTACTCTTTTCATTCTTTTTTTTTTTTTCTTTCCCCCAACCACCACTTCTCTCTTCCTCGATAGTTAGAGTGAATGGCTAAAGGTAGCGGTTCTCTCTTGTCTTGTAAGGGTTTCCCCTTATATTTCTCTCTTTCTTGAGGGTTTTTGCTTACACTTTCCCAATATTTTTTATTAGGGTTCACTTTTGTCGAAATGAGAATAACAACTTGAAAGCGATATTGGTTAAACTCAAATCAATTGTTGTGCTTGTTTTGATTGTTAAAGGCATGATTGTAGATAAGGTCTCTAGCAAACCTTTTTTACTCCATCCAATTTATTTTTTGTTTGAATGAATTGTGGTGGAATACAGCTTGATTGCTAAATCTCAAGTTTGGGTCTTGTTGCGATATTAATGTAAATATTAGATTATTTGATTATGTGTTTTTACATATTTTATGGGTATTACCTCTTGCATATTACTCTACTTGAATTGATCTTATAACTCTTATAGATTTTATATATCAATGAAATTACATTTCTCATTAAAAAAATTGCTTATTTAAGTTGTAGTAGTTAATTAAGGATAAAAATAAAATTTTATTAATTAATTATTATATTTATATTTTATTAAAAAAATTAAGT